CTGAAGGCAGCTGTATTGCATTTTTATTTGAGATAATTTAATTTCAGTTTTATTTCTATGAACTACACCTTCCCCACAGGGCAGTTTTGCTGGCTTAGCCTCCCACACATAAATCAGGCTCCAATTTATATGGGAGGCATAGGAGGTGTTTTACAGAGCTTGGGGTTGTAGCTCTCAAAGCATGTCATTTAAATTAACTGCAGTAACTCATAAGGGCATTTTAATGGCTTAGATCTAAATGAAAATAATACTGAAGATCCACATCAGATTGATTTTTGGGGAGGGGAAGATTAACAAAAAGAAGATTGTAGCTTTTCCATAAATGCTGTGAAGTCTGGACTTATCTGGGGATTCACATTCTAAGAACAAGGAAGAAACATTTGGGCTTTGGTTTAAGTTGGAGGATGAAGTCAGTAATGGGGACAGGGCTGAACCTGGCAGGTGAGGGACAAGGGACCTCTCACCCAGACTGTACCCTTCGCCCTGCTGCTGAAAAGCTGTATTCCTTCCCAGCAGCATCCCACTGCAGAAGTGGCACGTTTCAGTGGTAGGTAGGGCAGTCTCTAGAGCCTGTCTCAAGCTTATGAACAAAAAACCACACAACACCTGCCCGCATCCCTCCTTGGACGCAGCGGGAAGAGCACAGTGCCTCAACAAGAGCTGGGCTGCCTCAAGGAGAGTCTTCACATGTGCTGGGCCAAGCTCGTCCCATACTCAGCTTCACCAGGGCACATCAGCACAGGGTCAGAAAGAGCAGGGACTTCCATGCAAATCAGAGTCATGAGCACATGCAGGTGGTCAGCCCAGTATTTTTCTTAAGCTGTGTCCTCTGGGGAGGGAAATTCCATGCACATGGACCTTTTATATGTTCATGAGATGGATCTAGAGAAGAAAACTTACTCCTAATCTCAACAGGAACACTACAGAAGGCACAAGACAAATGCTAAAGCCCAATCAAATGTGTGCTTTCAGCTGCTGGATGAAGCCTGTTGGATAAGAGGAGTTGGTAAAAGGAGGTGGAAAAAAAGAGACACCATTTTGTACCCAAAAATGGTATATGTCTGTGCTTAGCAGCTTGGCGGAAGAGCTGCACAGATTGAACAGAAAGCGAGCTGCTGCTGAGCTGGCAAAGGGCTGTCTGGGAGCCGGTTAGACAGAAGCCTGCTCAGGCTGCCTGGGACTCACAGCAGGAAAGCCCCAGCTGCAGAGAGCATTGCAGTTACATGGCTGCAACCCTGCTCCCACAGAGGACAGGCACAATGTTTCAGAAGATGATGAGGTCATAGAGGAGAAAAGCAAAATGAAGATAAAAACCAAGTTCCACATGTTACTTAGTAATCAGGAAATCCCAATAATTTCCACAGTGGAGGAAGCTTGTTCTGATTAGAGGCACAAGCATCCCCTTCAAGGCCATTCCTCCCCCCAGTATTTCATCTTGCAGCAGCTGCCAGACTGCAGATGTGTCCTTAGCAGGCAAGCATCCCTCTCCAATCCAGGCTGAGCCATCAGGCAGCATTTGAAATGCAGACACCATCCTTATCTCCATAAAGGAGGGGGTAATAATCTGAAAACCCACACCCACCACTACCCTGTGACAGATGCTAATGGGAAGATAAGATCCATGGATGATAAGAAATTAATTCCCCCCGTGTTAAAGGAGGACCCTGGTTCCTGGGCAGGTCCCTCTGCCTGGGCTGCTTGTCCCCACCACCCACTGGGCTGCACCAGTAGCAGGTCATTTGGGAGCCCTTTCTGCATCACTCCTCCTCCTGTTAAGGCTCTAGAGAAACCCTCTCATTATATGCGAGCAAGCCACTGCTTTGCCAGGCACTAAACAGGGCTCTGGTTCCAAAATGTTCTCCAGCTGTTTGCTTCGTGCTGAACTGCAGCTCTGGGCATCTCCCTCAGGGCAAATGCAGCTTCACTGTGTCAAATTTACCAGACAATATTGTGATTCACATTCAGTCATATTGATACCACAGAATAAACTGAATCCCCTCCCCCAGATACCCTCACTCTAACCAGAGTCTTGTCATTCCTTAATCCTCTCTCCCCTCCTTCACTGACCCCTTAACTTTTCTAATACAAGCCGGCTAAGCAAAGCTCCAGGCTGGAAGCAAAATAAGCTCAGGAGACAGATGGCCCAAAGTCTGGGCGCACCCTCTCCCAAAAACCAGGGCAGCTGGAGAGTTCCTGCTGGCACAGGAACTTTACCCAGCCTGAGCATCCCTACAGCACACGCTGCACAGTCCTGCACTGGCTCTGCAGGGAGCCTATGGTCCTGGTTCAGAAAGGGTTAGATGCTTTAAATGGGTATTGTAGAAGTATAGAGCCCATCAGCAGCCTCTCAGCTCTTTTCTGGGATACACCGCTATCCTGTTCAAGGTGAGCTTGGCACCTATACAGCAACGTCAAGGTATCTAGAAAGCTGTCCTGCCTGGTTGTGATCTATTTCGTTTCATCAAAACAGTTCACGTAAGAGAAACATAGACACTCCCACAAACAGGGGAACAGAAGCAAGTCAAGAGCATTATCTGACAAACTGGCATCAGAATGAAAACTAGACTAAGCCGGGTCAACCCAGACCTTGTTCCCATACTCGCCCCTCAGTACCACAACAGGTTTTAATACTGCAGAGTGGAAATACTTTGTATTATAAGCACACGGTGAGCTGCTGTTCCAATCTGTATTTGTCATGCAGGCCCACCCGTGAACGTCAGCTGCAACATTTTCATCAACAGCTTTGGTTCCATTGCAGAAACGACTATGGTAAGTAAAAATCACAGCACAGCTGCTCGGCTACTGGCTCACCCTCACTGCACTCCCAGCAAATGCAGCATCACCCTCCTCTTTAGTGTGACCAGGGGAAAATATGGTCTCCATGCTCCCAAGCTGATGTAAGTTTTGAGTAAATTAGTGGTCACACACGAGGCTCGCAGCATGTAGTTGAAGGTCACTCAGACTATCTGCATCCCAACACTGTACAGACAGAGTTTGAGGGTCAGAAAAGCAAACAAATAGTGTTTTCAGAAGACTTCCCTAAGGCTCTGAGCTCAGAGACCATTGCAAATACAAAAAAAGAAATTTGACTTAGCACTTCAAGTGAAATCAGCTGAACTCAAATTCAGTCTGCACCTGACTTCAGATTCCCAAAGACTAAGAGAATCGCCAGGTGTGGATTTTCTCAGAGACATTTGTTAGACTATGATTTTTCAATTTAAAAAAAATCAAAACCAATATTTGGAACTTAAGGCTCACTTCAGACAAAATTAGCGAACATGGCCAAAGGGTGTATCTAATTGGCAAGACACTAGGAGCAGAGAATCACTAGAACAGGAGATAATTGCACCATCTGAAAACTATTAAAGATTGGTTGTGACATAATCAGTGAGCAGCAAAGGAAAACTCTGGCAGTACAGTGCCTTACCTCTGTGCTAATTAAAGGTAATGCAGGAATATGGTGTTTAATTACTCTTTGGTAATTCTTTTTCTAGAAAGATGTTGAATGAAGAACATGAGACTCCAGCTCCAGGTGTTTTGTGCATTTGGGCGGGATGTCGTAGGCTTTACGTGTAGATCATAGCCCTTGACTTGAACAAGTTATTTGTCACACACCCCACAGTCAGAGGAGATAACAGCTATATACCTGGGGTTATAAGTCTCTTCTTACACTACTCTTTATACCATTCTTCTGGAAACATTTGGGGTTGGGGGCAGTTCAGTTCTAGTAGCAGAAAAGAGCTGTTACTCTGCCCAAGCACAAAGAAACACATTTCTTAGTTGGATTGAAAAATTTATCAGAGTTCATAGAAGTGTATTCATTTGTATATAAAGCAAAAGAGGAAGAAGTAGAAGCAAAATACGCATCTGTTCCTCATGCACTATTCTATTGAATACCTCCTTTGGTGTTAGAGGCAATAAATACTCTGTTCCTACACAGTCTAGCAGAGATGATCCGCAGACTGCAGGGGAGAGGCACAAGCCCACAGGGATCCCTGTGCAGTGTACAGAGCACATCACAATGACATGTTTTTCAATATATATGTCCTGCATCGTGAGATGCACTGAAGCAGTCACGCCAAGACGTCACAGAATCCCAATAAGCAAGATGCTCCATAAAATTAGCATAGACTAGCATGAGAGAGATGTACTTCACCTCCAAGACATGCTGCAGGGACTTGCTATCCTCTCCAGATGCCACTCATTTCATAGTCTATCTTCCATAGAAAAAATTCCCACGGGAACACAAGAACACCCTCTAGGCACATTGCTTTTTCTAGAAATACCCAAGCCGGCTCTGACAAGCTAGTCCAGATGTCAGGCTGACACAGCATTGCACACAGCCTAATACAATGCACATCTTTGGGGACAGCAATTCTGCTTGTAAACGCAGATGGGAACACAAGCAACACAGGTACCGAAACATCTAAAAATAAGAGCCCAGCTAGTTAAAGCATCTTTGGGATTTACTCTGCAGAGAAGCCAGTCTCTCCCACTGTCTGAGGGTGCAGCAGGTCAAACAGGCAGTGGCAGCTCCCCACCACAGTTACTGGGAAGGGCAGAAGGTCCCATCAGGAAGGGATTTTGAGACAGACATGATTAGTTTGAATTCAAACAAGTGATCAGATATCTAGGGGTGGAGGAGAGTGGGGAACTCAGGTGCCAGAAACAACTCAGTATTTTACCATAAAGAAAGCAGTAGCCTATCACTGACCCTTGGGACTGATGGCAGTCACACTTTGCCAGCTGCTTCAATGGCCAAAAGAGAACAAATATCATTTGGTTTAAACCTCAATCATTACGCACCCTAAGCCTGGCCAGGTTCAGATTCTGAGTACTACATCATCTTATATTTAGTTACTACCACACTACTAACTGTGGGAGAAGAGTCACAGGTTTTTATGGATACCCCACATGCAGTTAGAGCAGCCTTTAAAATATCTCCATAGTGGGGCTGCTAGCTCCTACAGATCTGCTGCCATTCAGGTTTATACTGCCTGAATCTCACAAGTCATCATAAATCACAATGTTACCATGCAGAGGCTTAGAGACTGCTCACTTACAGTTTGAGGCATCACAGAAGGTAGAGATAAAATACAGGAAAATAGAACAAAACAGGTATTTGACAAAGCCACTTGGGTCTGCAAACCTCAAAGGTGGCACAGACTTTCCAGGGTGGGAAGAAAGCTGTTATCAGCCCCACGAAGGTTCAAAATGAGCAAGGCAAGAAATGAAGACTGAGCACTGCTGCAAGGTTGAGGGGAGGAGACAGAGTCATCCACCAAACTGAATTCCTTTAAGCATCCTGGGGACCCAACATAAAAGCCTCCAGTGGTGCACATAATTGATTGGACATTTACGTTAGATTGTGGCTTAGAGCTTATATCCATCAGCCTCACTTGCAATTAGCTCTAAGGACAAGGGAACCTGTGATCCCAAGTGCTTCAAAGGTTAAGATACTACCAACTACAACAGCCAAACAAGTCCAGACAGCCTCCTTCTGTCGCAAAGCATTACGGCAATCACGCATCCAACAGCAAGGTATTCCAGAGGACAAATGTAAGATGCATCTACTGTATCCACTACCAGACAACCCCCAACCCCATGTTGTTAAATCCCTTTTTGCTCTTCAAAAGCATGAACACCTCCCCCCCAGCCATACCAGGAGTAGTAAACCTATAGCAAAGCTACACATTCTTCATACAAAATGAAACAGAAGTCAAGCACCAAGGGAACAGGGTCTTGGTTTTAAGTGAGTAAACCGCACCAGCTTCAGCTCTTCTTTGCAGCACAAGACAACTCATAGGATTATCTGAGCATTTCATCTAACGGATTTCCCACTACCACAGCAAACTTAGAATTAAGCAATGCCCTTAATCTCTCTTCCAATGGAAGCTGCAGTTTTATGGATTGCTCGCTGGCTTAGGCAGTTGGGAGCATTTTGTATATGGTGAAGACACAGGGAGAAGAAGGATTTTTTTTTTTTAATTTCATAACCTACAGTTTCTAGGAGCTGGACTCAGTGCTTAGGATGACCACTTTTAGTCCCATGCAGCAAATAAGAATGTAAGAGAAAGAAAACCAGTAGAAAGCCAGCACAGGCTCTCCTAGATTCAGTATATATGCAAATTTATTTCTGCTCATTTCATGCCATAATTATGCCATCTGAAAAGAGCAAACCAAATCTATCCTTCCAGCCAGCTGCAACACAGCCCTGTGTTAGCATATCCTAAGGACAGGAGAAGCTGGAGGCTGCAACTGTCCCAACATTAAATACTTGCTCAGAGTCATCTGAGCTTTCCAAGGGGATAACAAGCCATCCTGCACAACTGACTAAGCAATTCACTCCAGCCTCACAAGCCACAATGCGGCAGCTAGCAAATACAGCTGATGAAGGGTACTGGTCACATTTAATACTGGGCCCACAGAAGATATAAGTATCATCACAAATCTGGTAGCAAAAGCTAGGTTTTAAACTCAATTTTCTGCAGTCAGTCATTCTCAAAACCAACTATCAGTCCCACAGAGATGATAAGCATGTAACAAGTCACACAACACAAAATGAAAAGGTTTTCACAACACCTCATAGTCTGCTGCAGTTTAAGTGTTAGACATACAGCGTTACGGTCATCTCCATGACTCTAGCTTGTCTGTACAATGATTAGAGAAGGGGAAAAAAAAAAAAAAGTAGGACTATGCAACTCAAACACAAGGGCACAAAAAAACAAGCTAAAGAACAAGGCCCTATTAGTAAATTCCTGAGGTTCACATTCAGAATACTGCAGCCTACTCCCACCAGCAGCTCCATCCCTGGTCCAGAGGGATATGATTTCTCCTCCTTTCATAGGAGGTTCCAGGAAAACTTTCTGCTCTGGGTTCTAGAGCAAAAAAAGCTCCCACACATTAAACACCAAGGTACTGCTCCCACCCCTCACCACATACCTTCCACAGGCAAACAGCCTTCCTCCTCAGCAGCACCTCCAACACAACTGCTACTCGCAGCACCTTCCCCCCTTGCTCCACCTGTGGCTTTCACACCAGCCCTCAAATTAGCTACTTGGCTACAGCTGTGGCAAGGACACCAGGTCATTTATTAACCCTTCCAAGGTCTGCTCCTAGTGTGTTGTGTGGGTTTGGGGGTTTTTTTTTAATCAGTAAATTGCAGTGCAAGTACAATTAAAAAAAAAAAAAAAGTTTGTTTAATCCCGTTACAGAGAATGAACCCAAAGTCAATAAAGCCCCTCCTGCTCTGCTATCCAGGTGGGATAACAGAACTCCAAGGGAGTTCAATCTTTGCTCTGTTTTTTCTCATCAGAAAAAATGTGACTTTATCAGAGTGAAGTCTCTCACTAAAACCATTCAGTGCAAAGGCTGGTCTGACAGAACCCCTGAGTCAGGGGCTGAAACCTATTGAGTTTCCTGACAGCCTCCATCCCTTCCTCACAGCGCTACCTCCAGCCTGCCGCTGCCTTCAGCTGCTTGCTCGTCATCAGATGCCAAGGCTGTAGTATCTGGGGAAGGAGAAGTCTGAAATGACCTTCTATTTCCTTGGCTCCTTGCAAGGCCACTGAGCAGAATTTCATTTCAGCATTATCAAATTGAACTCCTTTGATCACTTCAGTTATTTTCTTCCTGCCCCGTGCCATTTGCCCCTTGGGAGTAAAGCGCCTTTGTGCCAAATTGCAAAGCTCCTGAATGCCTTCACAACACGAAGTTGCTGCTCTCCGCTCCCAAGCCAGCCAGAGAAGCAGACTGCACGCGATAATCAATGCCTGGATGTGATTGGCACACAAATGAGGAACTCAAGTGATAAGAAGGATATGGAGAAAGAGTTTTGGGTTTTTTTCCTGGGTTTGCAGCCCCAGTAAAAGCTTTTTTTTTTTTTTTCTTGAAAGTTCATGTCAGAAATTGGTCTGTTCTGGCCATCATTTAGGAATAACTGTGGACTTCTTGGTGATGCTAATTAAGATATCATACAACAGCATCCAGGAGAAATACTGTATATCTCCAGGTAGCCAGCAAATTAGTATTGTTTGGCTCATCACCCCTCGGCTTGACTGCAATGCCTAGGCACAAAACTTTCAACACACAGGACCCTTCAGGGGTACAGAATACTGTAACCTTTATCTTTAGGAATAACTGTGGACTTCTTGGTGATGCTAATTAAGATATCATACAACAGCATCCAGGAGAAATACTGTATATCTCCAGGTAGCCAGCAAATTAGTATTGTTTGGCTCATCACCCCTCGGCTTGACTGCAATGCCTAGGCACAAAACTTTCAACACACAGGACCCTTCAGGGGTACAGAATACTGTAACCTTTATCTTTGGCTGTGTCACAGCCACAGACGTACACCA